CGGCGCATGCATCTGCACCACGTCGACTGTGGGGATGGCAGCAGCGCAGTCGCATTGCATACTTAGCTACCGAGGAACTCAGTCCCAACGCCATTTCTTCTGCAGCCCATGTATGCATGTTTGGGCAAATATTTTTTATAATTGAGTTTGAGGCCCGTGCTGCCAATGCGTGGACAATATCACCCAGCTCAGCTCCATCAACTAGCCGGACGTGGGCGAAAAAAAATGTTGACCTGCGAGCGCTCACGTCCCGGATAGATCACCACGAGGGACATGTACAACCATTTTCTATGGGATTCAGCCATTATGCGGCTTTACCAAGAATTTGCATCGCCACCTCTTCCATACCACTTGGTTTATGCATCCACCACTCCACAGGCCCACGGATAACTCACGTCAAGCTCACCAGCATGTGCTTGCCCCCGTCCCGAACCGGCGGTTCACAATTTCATCATTGAGAGGCTTAGGATGCTTCAGGAGCATGGATTCATAGTGGGTGACCAGGGATATATTGCAGCGTTGGTGTTGTGGCTCCTTCGCCCTGTTGTGTGATGGCAAGCGCTTTGAATCCTCAGATGACGGGCTGTTCGTTAGCCATGAGGCCGCATCATGTCGCCATTGGCCTCCGGCGTTTGCGAGAATCTTGGCCTCTTCCTCTGATCTCTGTCACTCAGCGAAAGCTGATCATCGGCTACCACGTTCTTCAAGTGCACGTGTTTCCGCTCGTCCACCCCATGAATTGCACTTGGGTCAATAAAGAAATAGCCTCTTCTTTGCATCTGCCACCACCCAAGCTAGACCTTCTTGCAGATTGTTCCCGGTCATGGCACTGCATCGCAGAATATGCCATTGATGGGAGCGAATCTCATCCAACTGTAATGCCTGTCGAGTAGGGATCAGCCGGGGGATTTGCACAGGGTAACGGCGACCGCCGCCCACATCTGCCACGGTGTCTTACCATGCGAATCTCTTGCTCGTTCATGCATCCCTCGACATCAGTCTTGTTCGAGAAAATAAGCAGGCTTGCTCCAGAAAGGCGCTGCAAAACCCATACCCATCAACACCATGTCGTGCTCATAACCGTCGAGACAAAAGGCTCACTAATGCATGGCGACGCACCTCTTCTAAAAGCAGTCCGTGGAGCTCCTCTCTGCAATCTTGCATCCTAAGACGATCGGTGGCATCGACTACCCATATCAGAGCGTCCGTCTTCTCAAAGTAGTTGCGCCAATATGATCGCAGCGTCTTTTGGCCACCCACGTCCCCTACCCCTGGTCAGTAACTGCTTGTCTCTCAATGTCAGCGGGAAAAGACTTGTTGTTTCTTGGAAAACTCACAGATGTTCAATTTATACCTAAAAAACGAAAAGGTAAGCAGAGGACTATGCGCGAAAAGATGAATTGACCGTCAAACCTACCCGTCGTAGTCGATAGTCTTGATGATGAACCCGAGTGTTGGGCTCACTGTCTGGACGTCCTCGCCCATGATCTTCTTGACAATAGTGGTCTTCCCAGCATTATCAAGACCTCTTGATATCGTGATCAGCTAGAATGACCTTTTTACGTCCGGCAGCAGGGCAGCAGGGCAGCAGGGCAGCAAGGGCAGCAAGGTGCTGCGTGTAGGGGCCAACACACAGCATCAATATTCTCATCTCCTTGTCCTTGAGACGAGCTTTCCGCAGAATGGACAGCATTGCGACGGTGTGGAGTACTGAAGGTTGAGGTATCAAGGCGCAGAGTCATGCACAAATGCCGAGTTGATTCCTGTTCGTCATGTACATGTGTACTGTGTACTTTCCGGTGCAGTGCTTGGGCTGTGACAATTCATGGTCGTCCGGTGTCAAAAGCCGATGGAATGTGGCGTCGACCTCGACCACACGTGATAGGCTCTGGCTCACCACAGTCTGCATGTGGGTCACACCAGCACTTGAGACCTGTCACCTCACCGCTAAACCCTTGCTATCCGTGCGCCATCTCTCATGTTTGAACGTCGCAACCACCGGCACGGCAGCCGCCTCCAGACGTCCAGACTCTAAGCCTTGCGCGCCTCTGTCCAATTGAGATTCTCTGTGCCGTTACTTGTGACCCCGAAAACCTGTCGACGGCCCAGACTTCTTCAAATCCATGTTTGTGTCTCTGTACTATCATACAGTTGGTCCACAACTTGCACGTCAACGTGCCTTTTCTTTTCGTCCCGCATCGCATCAGCAACGGACACAAACGCAGCTTATTTTTGAAAACATCTCTCTCGCACACTGTGTCATAACATCAAACACCTACACCTCAACATACCCTAAGAAAACGAAATTCCTTCTTCCAAGATCGACTATACACCTCTCAGGCTTCACTACCATCCGTCGATAACGTTTGAAGTTGGTGTGATATCACGTGCCCAAGTCACCAGGTCTTGCCAATGCATGTGTTGTTGGTCATCCTCAGTCACCAATACGTTTTTGAGGCGGCCGACTTCTTCAAAGCCAAATTTCTTCAGAAACTGGTTTCTTGCGTCAGAAGTTTCATCCCTGTCGTGTGAGTCAAGCACTTCTACATGAAGAAGCGTGTACTGCCGCACATTGCGATTCGCCGGAAATTCGTAAATGCCGTCAAACTCATCCTTGTCACAACTCCAGTCATGGTCGACGACGCTGGTGTGTAGCGGTGATATGGATATCAAAATACGGTCTAGCAGGGCCGAGCCATACAATCTGCGTCGATGATCTGGATGTACTATTAAATTCAGATGTCCTGAATAAGCTCCCGGGCAAGCACAATCATTCATGCCGAGCCGCGAGCCTGCGATGAAGGCAAAACCGACCACAGACAAAACGGGTCTTTTATTCTTTGCCATGAACCGGGCAAAGTCCTCGTAAATAGCTTCGGAATGATTCGGCCACTTTGATCGGTCCAAGACGTCTTCCTTGGCCGGCGTGACGACAATGAAGGGTCTGTTGTCGGTCCGGCATTTTTTCCAGATACGAGCCACATCTTCAGCATGCAATAAAATTCTTTTATTGTCTTGTGATTCCTTTTCAAGTATCTCCGCAATAGCAGGAATGTCCAGCTGGGTTGCTGGGCGCACAATGCAGTTCGCTTTGGGCCAGGCTTGACCAGATTCGCCTGAGGAATCGAACTGATGAGTTTTGTTGTCGAGAGCCATTCGAAGACTCGCGGCCATGTTTTCGCGGCTTCTGAGCTCCTTCATGACGTGTAGTTCTGTCGTCATATTGTTCTGTCGCCATAGAACGTCGTGGTAGCCCTCACAAGGTCCTTTTATCGCACACCGGAGAGTTTCGGGCTGAAGGACAGGCGGAAGGAACGTGCCATTCTGAGGATCTATGTCACAACGACTGTTGACCAGGTCGCCGATTTTATCGACGGGAACTAACAGGGATGGAGAAGACAGATGCTTGACAAGCCATGACTTGACAGGATCATCAGGATGTAACATTGCATCCCCTTCCGAATCATTATAGATTCCTTCTCGAATTACGCAATCTGCGCTTCCCGAATCACTCCTGTTCGGAAAGATTTGAGGAAAATTTGGGCCGAACATGATTTTCTTATCGACGTGATCTGACAGGTAATTACTGCTGATGCTCCAGCCTTCCACCCCCAAGCAAGCATCTATTTTCAGACCAATAATAGAATTCCTTGCCCCTGCAATTGTGCTTCGTGGTCTGGACGTAGGCCCTTCGAATAGTCCTGGTGAAGAGCTCTCGATTGCCGCCAGTGGAGCAGAGATGCTTTTGGGGCTATGTTCACCGGCTTCCAAGACGACCGGCAACTGGGATGTATTCATTTCCTGAACGTTATTCGAGGCTAAGTCGTCGCCAATCTTCCCTGGCGCCGGCATGTCTGCAGCAGATTTATCCTCTATTTCGTTATGAACCTCCGAATGGCTAGCTGTTCTTTCCGCGGCATCTTTGGCTTCCGGTCTTGGACTGTCGAGTCCCCTAGCACCGGCGCCATCCTGACCGGGTGATACGCGATTGCTTTCATCAGCTGCGGTTCCTGCAGCCATTGAATCGGAGCACGGACTTTGGAGAGACATGTCGATATGCGGAGTATGAGGCAAATGAAAAATCCACGCCTTCATTTCTTTGCAGAGTTGGGAAAGATTCTCATGATTGCGGGCAGGCGTGCTGGAAGGACTCTTTGCTGCCGTTGCAGCCATTTTCGAGGCTCACAGGAGTGTGTATACGATAGTCAGGGGAAATTACCGACTGTGTCGAATATGGAGGTGCTCTCAGATTTGTGCTTGGAGGCAGGCCTGTCAAACTATTCAGAGTGGAACTGTGCTCCTGTGGCCGTTGCAAAGGCCAAGGCAGGAGAAACGAGAGGGTGAAAGGCTGAAAACCTAGATTCATCATGTAAGTCGCAGCCCCTGATCAAAATGCTGGGCGAGCGAGACTTTGTGTGCAGCTGTCCCGCACCTGCTGTCAGCTGGCGAGAGCTCAAGCACATCTCGGTGAATGGGGAATAAAAACACAGACCGGACAATACTTGGGCATCTTTCAATAATCTCAGTATTAGAACAGATTGTTCTTTCTCAATAGACAACAAATCCATTCATACATACAAGTGTGCACCCATTGTGACTTATCTTGTCTGTTCTCTTTCATGACCCTTATAACGCATCGCATAAGCTGCCAATGCCTATAAGTTAAGTGCGATATCTAGTACGTAATATATGGGAACCCAGATAAAATATAGTTAAGGGAAGAGCGAAATAGAGGCGGTAAACTCGCAATTTACTTATCTACTTATCTATTAAGAGGGTATTCGCTGCTTTATAAAAAACCTGCTGCTTAGAGACACAATTATTACAAGAATACTCCTCTCAAACGCCAGCCTAAGTCGTATGATACCTCTTAGATAAGACTTGCTTTCTATTAACTAACTCTCGATTCATTTGTAACATCCCTCCAGAGCACGAGATTCACTGTCGGGAAGTTTCAACTTGTGAGCTACATACAGTAAAATAATGAGGCAATTGACATCGGCCGCGTGGCCTAATGGCTAAGGCGCTAGATTTCGGCTCCCATCATCACTGAACTCTCTAGAGATTCCAGGTTCGACTCCTGGCGTGGTCGTAAAATTGATAAGATGGTGCAACATTTTTTAAATGATGATGTCGACTCAGATCATCTTTTTTGGATCTTATCGTGGCTGTTCCTCATATTCTTCAGTTCTACTTGTTTCGCCTGTCGCTATATGAAACATGAACCATCCATATGTACATCACATGTATGTTTATATATCTGTATGTATTTGCATTTGTATGTCATACACTTAGCTCCCAGCGGTCAAGACAACACCCGACGCGCAATTACTCGCCGGTCGGATGAATGGACAAAAGGCGTTGGCTTGGCGTACACACAAATCTAGCGAGGCGGATTCACTTCAGCTACCATGCGCATCTCCATCGCGAAAAGCGAACGTTTCTCAGCCCCGCCTATACACCCTCGCAATGCAATATACTGGTTTGAATAATCCAATATCTCGGGTCATTTTCCTTGCTTTTTTTTTGCGACACATGTAGACCAACCTCATAGGTTCAATCAATCGAGATTCTACATAGAAGAAAGATCATGGCCAAGATTTTGCATGATTGGGGCAAGACTCGGGCATTACATCAAGCTGCCGCACTGTACGTCTCTTGATGCAGGTGCGTGTACAGGATCTTGTATGACCTGGTTGTCTAACTGCAGCTCTCAGCCGAGATCTCCATCAATCATGAACCGGTCTAACTGGTCGTAACCCTCCACATTCCATCATGTGGTACTGTTCCAAGAGCCTGAAATCAACCTCGGCCATGTTCTTCTGAGGACGTACAAGCAGGTAGGAGAGATGGTTTAGCTGTCACACTTGTGCTGCAAGGTCCTCGCTGCGTGATCCTGTCTCGGCTCATGATATGGTTTTGTTGAGAAAACGTAAGGAGAAAATCAATCAGGGATTGACATGCTGCAGACGGGCCGAGGTTTAAAAGCGAGCATTCGCCTTTACGATTCGTATTCATGGCTTACAATACCAAGAGCAAAGCACGCGTTGATCTCATACAAAGGCGAAAAACTTTTCAACTTCGGAAGCTCGTGGATATGATGGATAAAATATCACTTTTCTGTGCCAGCATTTTTGTCGCCCTCGCGGTTCATGGCGTCATGGCTCAGGAATTACAGCCAAGGTCTGCGTTGTACCCGCGAAACCCTCTAGTGCTGGGGAAGATATGCAAGTCGCTGCGACACGATTGTGATTTGGACCACTTACCCCCAGATATTGAAGTATGGAGCTAAGCATCACTACTTCACGAAGCTGTCTATGTTGACCTTCTTCCCAGAAACTATGCGCACAGTCTTGCGAAACGCCGATTGACGACAAAGACTTGAAAGGTGATTTGTGTGATCTCTTCAAAAAGGTATGCCTCAAGCTAGACCAAGCCAAACACAGACGGGTTTTGATGGTAGCTCCGTCTAACCGGACCGTAGTACATCGATAGTCTCGGCGAATGCGCCAACAGCGCGCATATTGTGGTCGATATGCTGTGCAAAGAAAACTGCGGCGGATGTTCCAAGGACGAGGACTGCGGCAAGAACCAGGTTTGCGAGAACCACATGTGCAAGGCGATTGTCAGTTGTCAGCATAACCGTGAGTGCAATGGTCAAGTCTGCAAAGACAACAGATGCCAGGCCTGCACAGCCAACCCAGATTGTGGCGGCGACAACCTTGAATGCGTCCAGGGGCTTTGCGTGCCGACCACGAACCCTCCTCCGGAATGCACCAAGAACTCGGACTGCAAAACAACCCAGATCTGCAAGGACCAGAAATGCGGCCCTTGCTCGATTGATTCCGACTGCGGCGTCGACCAGTTGTGTGGGGATGGAGAATGCAAGCCAAAACCACCGACGTGCGGACAGCCTGGCTTCGAATGGGCACAGTGGCGAGGACCCCCGACTTGGAGACGCGTCAAGTCACCGCCATTTGCAGAGTACGATCCTACCTCCTTCACGAGCCAGAAGCCGGAGCACGATGGACGAACCAACAGCCTGCTCATCAACGACCCCAAGAGCCTCTACGGGCAGCCCCTGAGCACCAACCTGGCCTGTGTCATCCACCAAGGATTTCTCCTGGCGCCCGAGACGGGCAACTATACCTTTACCTTTGGACAGGCAGATGATATTGCTCTTGTCTGGCTGGGACAGAACGCCTACAGCGGCTGGAATCGAGCCAATGCAGACATCGAGCGGACCTACATCCCCCCTCCTGGCGATGAGACGACCACTGTGAGGCACCTGGAGAAAGGGACGTACTATCCCGTGCGCATTGCTTGGGGTGACAAGGGAGGCAACGTTGCCATGTCGGTAAAGATTACTGCTCCAAATGGTACGGAATTGACGGGCCAGGACGGAGGGTATTTCAGGACCGAAGCCTGCGACGGATCTTACGGGAAGTTCCCGGCTTACGGGCCATCTTGAAGCCGTTCGGCGGCCGCCGAAAGGAAAAGAAGCCGGGCGTGATACGTGACCATGGCTGCCCAGGAGCCAGGGGTTTCGAGTCCTTGAGGTGCTCGAATTGATCAGAAGCCACGTGAAATTGAGAAAACGCGGCTGCGGGTTCGAGTGCAGAGCTTGTTCTTGTGTTTCTTGTTCGTGCCGATGTTTGTCCCGTTGATTTGACTGGTCCGTTTCTTTTTCTTTGGTAGAAATAACAAATGAAATATAAAATGAAGATGAAAACGGAAAAGGCCCCGACCTGCATGACCGAGCGTCTTGTCCTCCGCGGTTGAGCGCCGACGTGCGTCCTAACGGATGAGCTGTTTACCGAAGAAAAACGCGTGACTATGCAGCCACCCGACAGTATTTTACGGTGGCCAAGTGCGACGTCTGCTTCCATCCAATGCTCCCCTTGTTGGGGACCCGAGGAGAAGAGAGAGTGCGCAGCTTTTTGGACGGACACATGTGGAACCCGCAACGAATCCATCCAGCCGTGGTCCCTCGTCTTCATGCGGCTTCTGTCCCCATTCTCAATCCTTTCGAAAACTCGACTTGCCGCAAGCTCGTAACCACTCGTCTCGATCTTCTCCTACGATAGCGGCAGTGCACTTGCAGAATCTCCCAAAATGGCGCGCAAATTCTTTGTCGGCGGCAACTTCAAGATGTGAGTATGAGCGGCCAGACCAGTGAGGTCCCGTCTGAACAAGCTACGACTTTGCTGCCCCTCCATGCCCCGCGCGAGGCAACTCCGAGACGGAGGAGCCAAAACCGCGCAGCTCGATAGCACGCCAACGCATTGGCATACCGATCTTTGGCTTGAGAGCAAATACAAAAAA